CGGGGATGTGCCGCCGCGCGCGGAGTGTGCTCCTGCCTGAGCCCAGCTGCCCGCGCCGTGTCCGTGCACTGGCAGTGGCGCAAAGCACAGGGCTGGCCCCACTGAGAACGCTGGGCTCGCCTGTAGTGCCACGGGGGAGGCTGAGGCAGGAAGGTCGCCCGAATGGCGAGTTCAAGGCCACCTGACCACGCAAGCCAGATCCCAGCTCTGTGGAGGGGGGAGCCCTTTGGGGACTGTCATTCTCCAGGGACGGTTAGAAATCTGGGGTGAGGTGAGGTTAACGGCAAGGACATTGCCAGCGCAGTCCGGCTTGGCTTTGCAGTGTGCACTGCATTTCGGGAGGAGCTGGGGCTGCGCGAAGGTCAGTGCCTTCCAGGTCTCACACCTCTGACTGCGAGCCTCGGGCTGTGCACTCTCCGTGGACACTGCACTTCTCAGGGCCTGCTGTGTTCCAAGCGCTTGCGGCGCCCATGTACAGGGGGCAGGAGACCCGCGGTGGGTAGGAAGGGCTGTGGCAGATTCCGCCTGGTCTCACGCTGTTTGGAAGTTGAAATAACTTCCACACAAACGCCAGGCCAACGCATCCTGCCTCGAGGGTGGCTTTCTCCTGGGTAGGAAGCGTGTGCGGAGCCCACGATAGCCCTTATCCAGCTTGCCTTCCCTCCAAGGAGCCTGCCCTGGCGTCCACAGATACCCAGGGGGGCAGAGCCCTGGTCCTCTCCACCCCCATCCAGCAAAGGGTGAGAAAGGAGGGTTCCCGGCATCTTGAGAAGAAGGAACTGATTTTGGCTTTTGTTTTTGCGACAGGGTCTCACTACGTAGCCCAGGCTTACCTCAGGCTGCCGAGTGCTGGGGTTACAGGCAAAGAAATAGCATTTTCCAGTGTCCTGGTGGCCATTTTGTGCTCAGAGTACATTTTGAGCACTTACTACATACCCATCCTTGTTCTCCGTGCTGGAGCACAGGGGAAAGAAGGCCACAGACGCTTGCTCTCGGAGAGTTTGCTCTGGTAGGGCGAGGCAGGGAGTAAACGAGGGTACACCAGACGGGTGGTGCAGTTGTGAGAGGGCCTCGCTGGTCAGCAGTGCCTCTGGTGCTGGCATTTCGGCTCCCACCTGGACGGCAGGAGGCTGCTCTTCTGAGACACACAAGAGCCTACTCAGGTAGAAGAAACGGGACCTGGAAAGGTCCTGCGGCAGCTGCAGGCTTGGTGACAGTGACAATAGGAAGGCACTCTCCTTCCAGAAGTGGGTTAGGGAGAGAGGGGCTCAGGGGGCTCCTACTGTAGGCTGCAGAGGTGGCCTGGGAGTTTTATTCAGACTGTAATGGCAAGATGTTGAACACTTTCAGCATACAGGGGACATGATCTCAAAGACTTAACAAGACCCTGTCTCAAGCCAGGTGTAGTAGCACATGCTTGTCATCTTAGCACTTGGGAGGCTGAGGCAGGAAGATTGCCAAGAGTTTAAGGCCCCCCCCCGGGCTCCATTTTCATTCAAGTCCAGCCTGAACTTTGAGACAAGACCCTGTCTCAAAACAAACACAAAAAACAAAACAAAACCTTGTCTCAAAATCTAATGAAAAGGGCTAAGGATGTAGCTTAGTGTGAAGGCCCTGGGTTCAATCCCAGTACTACCTGTCCCGCTCCAAAAAAAGTCACTATCAGTTATAAGAAACAGAACCAGAAGCACAGAAGCCACTGAGAGATGGTGGGACAGGGAAGAGACAAGTGAAGGATGATGCCTAGGTCTGTAGCTGAGCCCCTGAGCAGTGGTGCTGCTTAGCCCAGCGGGAATGAGAGTTTGGAGTTGGCTGGACACTGGATGGAAACCAGGAGCTCGGTTACGGCCACACTGAGCCAAGATGCTTGTCAGGCGCCATGCAGGTGGCAAAGGGCTCAAGCCCAAATACTCAAGTTGGTTTTGGGGTTGTTTTTTTTCCTGATACTGGAGATCGAACTCAGGACCTTGCACTTGCCAGGCAGGCGTGGTGCTACTGAGCTAAATCCCCAGCCCTTGAGTTGGGTCTCCCCCGGGTGGCTTAAAGGCTTATGAGGGAAAAAAAAGGAAAACATACCATAAATATTATTTTTTGTCAGTGATAGTCTCTCCAGGAAAAAAAAAAAAAAAAAAAGATTGGGGAGAGGTCTAACTTGGAATGTTTTCTGATTTCTGTGGGGAAAATAATCTTACCGTAGCTGATTTCCAGCTTCCAGTGGTTCAGCAACTGGCAGGCAAAAGTCCTGGGCAGTTTCGGTCAGTTCTCAGAGGCACCATCATTTATCACCAGAACAAGCTCAGGAAGTTTGCAGGAATACTGCATTTGGCAGAGGAGAAAACAAAATGATTTATTCAAGGTCACATGGGGAGTCGGCGACGAAGGGCTCAAGCCCAGCTCTCCTGACCCCTGTTCACTCCAGCTGCTGACTCGGCAAGTTAAAGCAGGCTGAGGCAGGAAGGACGGGTGGAAATGTTAGGAAGAACTTCCCTCTAGAAAGACTTACAGGTCACGGCTCAAGTTCTTTAAAATTCTCTTACTTCCCCTGAGGATGATCTGAGGGCAGAATGGGGTGAAGAGGTTGCTGACGAGGCCTGCAGACATCCCCGGGTGCTTGGGCCACTGTGGGGAGCAGTCTGGGTGGGTGGGACACAGGGCCGTTCCGTGTCTCCTGCAGGTCAGCGAAGCCGGTCGCCTCTCGCTGTGTACAAAGGTGTGCTATGGCTTTGGTGGCATTCCCAACCAGGTGGCCTCCAGCGCCACAGCCTTTTACCTGCAGCTCTTCTTGCTTGACGTGGCCCAGGTGAGTGTGGGCAGCAGCCCAGGCCCGGCCTGATCGTCCCCTCCCCATCCTTGGTGGAGAAAGCGTTCGACCCAACATGATGGCGGGTGGCCTCCACGGATGATTATTGCAACCCGTTTGTGGTGGGAAACAGAGGCATGACGTGACTGCCCTGCTGTAGAGCAGATGGAGTAGTAACTGGTACCAGACCCACAGTTCAAGTGAGTGGTCTCTACCAGCTCACTTGGAGAGCAGTGCCTGAAAAACACAAGCAGTAGATAAGAGCGTATAAAACCACCTCCCCTCACAGATGTGCGTGTACGGGTGCACCCATGCGTGTGTCTGTACACAGTTAAGACGAGTTTGGAGAAAAATCACAAGGATACACTCCCAGGTGTTAACGCTGGCTGCAGGATGGAATGGTGGAGGGTAGAAGGTAAACAAGAACAAATTTTTAAGCCCAGCATGATGGCCCAAGCATGTAATCCCAGCACTCTGGAGGCTGAGGCAGGAGCCCGAGACCAGCCTGGGCTACACAGTGAATTCAAAACCAGCCTGAACTACATAGTGAGATCCTGTCTCAAAAAACAAAACAAAAAAACACCAAAAAACAAATTTTTTAAAAAGTCATGATTTAATTACACCGATCTGATTCACATAAAATTATAAATGTCAATCGCACAGAAAGAATTGCATGAAAAGACACTTTTCAAAAAACCTGCAGTTGCCTCAGGATGATGGGGTTTCAGAGGAGCTTTGCCTATGGCTGTCTGTATCATTTGAGTGTTGGGTATATCCTTTATGTCGTCAGAAGAATCAATTGGACGTTTTGTTGTAGAGCACAGCATCTGCCTCTCAGCCTGGGCAAGGGAGACCCTTTCTTGCTGGGAGCCACCGGGTGAGAGTCCCTTGTGCTTTCTCCAGAGTGACCCAGCAGCCGTCAGCTCCCTGCCCGACCCTTCCTCCTGCAGCCAGAGCCTCGGGCCATCCCAGCAGTGGCTCCAGCGGCCCTTCCCACCTCCCAGGTCTCCCTCCTGGGAGTGGTGGGCATGGCTGGCACCATGTTGGCTTGGATGGGCCTTGGCCGTCATCTCCTCCCTGCGGGTTTCAGATCCCTGCTGCCCAGGTGTCCCTTGTCCTGTTTGGAGGGAAGGTGTCCGGGGCAGTGGCCGACCCTGTGGCCGGGTTCTTCATCACCAGGAGCAGGAGGACAGGGTCCGGACGGCTCATGCCCTGGTGAGCAGCCCCCAGCGCTCTAGACCTGGGGTCAACTGTTGGTCACAGTCTCGGCGGACACCGTGGGTGCTTAGCGAGCGACACTGTGCATTAGGAGCGCTGGGATGGGATGTGAGGCACCCTTGGGGCTGCCTCGCTGGCTTGGGGGGCCAGGCCTGTGCTCAGTGTGGTCCGGCTCAGTGGGGGGGCCACCGAAGGTCTCAGAAAGGAAGTGCAACTTGCATGTGTTCCAGTGTCCGAGAGCTGGGCATGGCGCACCACAGACTGAGCACCCCCTCCGCTACCTCATCCCCAACCTGGGAGCCCCAGCCCAGGCCTCTTGGGCAAGGCTGACCGCCCCCCCCCCGCACTGCGCCCACCTCACTGTGCTCTGCAGGGTGCTGGGCTGCATGCCCTTCCTCAGCCTGGCCTACTTCTTCCTGTGGTTCCTGCCTCCCTTCCCCAGCCTGCGTGGCCTCTGGTACACGGCGTTCTACTGCCTCTTCCAGGGCCTGGCCACGGTAAGCAGGGCCGGGTTCTCGCGGCCCCCACTGCTGGCTGTGGCTACTATAGGGGGGGGGGCGACACCACCCGCGCCTGGAAAGCGCTCCGGGGGCCCAGCCTCCCGCTGGGGTTCAGATGGTGCCAGATGGGGCAGGGTGGTTATGGGCCTTCAAGGGGCACCCTAAGGTGCGCCGGGCCGTGCCAGTTCTTCCAGGTGCCCTACACGGCACTCACCATGCTGCTCACCCGGAGCCCCCAGGAGCGGGACTCTGCCACTGCCTATCGTGAGTGCAGCGCGGGCCTGGCGGGAGGGCGCCGCCCCTGAGCCCCGTGGCTGGCGTGGTCACTCGCACGTGCTCGGTCTCCAGGGATGACCATGGAAATGGCAGGGACACTGATGGGAGCTAGCGTCCACGGGCTGATCGTGTCCAGTGCCCACAGCTCCAACCACTGTGAGCTCCCCGGGCCTGCTGCTGTCTCCCCGGATGCAGTGAGTGCCCGTAGGGTCTCTTCCAGGCTGCTTCTCTGCACAGTGGTCACTGCGCACTTACTCCTTCCCTGCTCCTCAATCCCCAGTAACGCACGCGCGCTCGAGATCAATCCCCAGTAATGTACGCGCGCTCGAGCTCAATCCCCAATTACGCACGCGCTCGAGCTCAATCCCTAGTAACGTACGCGCGCTCGAGCTCAATCCCCAGGAACGCACGCTCGCTCGAGCTCAATCCCCAGGAACGCGCACGCGCGCTCGAGCTCAATCCCCCGGAACGCGCACGCGCGCTCGAGCTCAATCCCCCGGAACGCACGCACGCAGGAGAGGGAGCGCTGTGACCCTTGGGAACGTCGTGCCTCCTTTCCATGCAGCAGTCATGTGGAAGGGCACCCAGCTCTCCAGGGACTTGACCGGGAACCTATCGTCCCTGAGCTTGGACGAAGGACTCCGCGTTAGTCAGCTGTTTGTCATTGTGACCAGATACTGGCAGACAACCCAGGAGGAAGGACTTCTCAGAGGCTTTTGCCTACTGCGGGTGGCTCCCTTGCTGTGGGCCTGAGGAAAAGCTGAACAGCGTGGGGCACCTCAAGGCGACCTTGGAAGCCGAGAGGAAGGGCCAGGGAGCACAGTCCCCACACTCCCGCCCCTTCGATCCCCTTTCCTTCCGCACTGCCATCAGGCCAGGATCACATCCACGGCCTCATCCGCCCAGCACAGCGCCCCTCGGCCCAAACACCTGAAAGCCCTGCTCTGAACGCAGGCCACTTCCGGGACATTCTGGGTGGAAACTTAGCCCCTCTGCTCGCCGTGGGAAGTGCTCCGCCCGGCCCTCAGCCATCTCTGTCCTGCCCCCAGACTCGCCTCTACTCCCTCGCTGCCGGTGTGGTTGCTCTGACCTACCCCGTGTGCATCAGCCTGCTCTTCCTAGGGGTCAAGGAGCAGCCAGGTATGGAGGTGCAGTGAGGGGACGAAGGCAGAAGCGGGGACCGGGTTCCTCCTAGGGGCTTTGAACTCTGCCAAGCCAAAGCGTCCCTTCCTGCTTTGCAGACCCTGCTGACCTGGCCTCCGGCCAAGGCCTCGGCTTCCTGGCTGGGCTGGGCCTCACAGCCCGGCACCCACCCTATGTGAAGCTGGTGGTCTCCTTCCTGTTCATCTCAGCGGCGGTGCAGGTACCTCGGCCACCTGAGCCCACTGCAGCGGCTCTGGCCCTGCTGCCCCTGCAGGGATCCGGGGTCCTGGGCCACCTGAGTTTTACAGGAGAAACCAGAGGCTGGTGCTGCTTCGAGAAGAGGCCTGGGTGGCACTTGTGGGACTGGAGGCCGAGGTCCTAGGAAGCTGATGGTCTGGGCTTCTTCCCTTTCGTGTAAAACCCACCTGGTCTCCGCCGTGTCAAGGGCGGGAGTGGACTAGGGCTGACCTGGTCCTTCGTGGACTGACGGCACACGGAGGCAGCAACCCAAGTTCAAGGTCCCAGCGGAGAGCCAGACTGGAGGCCCGCCTTCGCCTTGGCTTCTGCGTTTCTGTAGTTCATTCGCCCACGCCCTGTCTGTTCCCGCAGGTGGAGCAGAGCTACCTGGTCCTGTTCTGCACACACGCTGCCCAGCTGCGAGACCACGTCCAGGGCCTGGTGCTGACCATCCTGGTGAGGGACCTGGCTGGTGGGCCGGGTCACTTGGGGGCCTGAGCCCGGCCCACGTGGGACCAGAGCTGTAGAGTCAACATTCTGGACTCTGCTGCTGGTCTCGGTCACCTGATTTCCAGCCCTGGGATCAAAGTTAACGGCGTGGTTCAGCTGGGGTGGGGCCAAGGCTGGGCTTTGTGGTCCCGCTGTGGTGACCCTGTCTGCTCACAGGTCTCGGCTGTGCTGAGCACCCCGCTGTGGGAATGGGTACTGCAGCGCTTTGGGAAGAGGACGTCGGCCCTGGGCATCTGTGTGAGTGAGGCAGGAAGTGAGGCTGGGCGGCTGGAGTGACCAGGAGCCCAAGCCTCCCAGCTGGCAGGGAGGGTCCCGCATGCCCTGGCTGCAGGGTGCAGCCCGGGGAGCGGTGCAGGGACAGCTCGTCTGTCTCCCCAGGTGATGGTGCCTTTCGCAGTCCTGCTGGCCGGTGTGCCCACAGCCCCCGTGGCATACGTTGTGGCCTTTGTCTCTGGCGTGAGCATTGCCGTGTCCTTGCTGCTCCCCTGGTAGGCGAGGTGCAGGGGTGGGTGGGGAGCTTCGTGTGCCTCCATAGGGCGTCTCTTCCTCGTGTCCCCTGCTGTCCCAGGCTCCTGTGTCCAGCCTCTCATGAGAAGGGGCCCACGGCAGGAATGCCGGAGCCGGACACGGGCACAGTGCTGCTGTCTGTGGGCGGCTCTGTCTCTGTCCTGAGAGTGATCACAGCCTGCTGCTGGCCGTCGGGGCCAAGGTGCCCTGGGGGCTCACGTCTGCATCTGTCGAAGGTCCATGCTGCCGGACGTGGTGGATGACTTCCAGCTGCAGCACCGGCACGGCCCGGGCCTGGAGACCATCTTCTACACATCCTACGTCTTCTTCACCAAGCTTTCAGGCGCATGTGCCCTGGGCATCTCCGCCCTCAGTCTAGAGTCAGTCCCACGGTCGGGGAAGCCCTCAGGGTGGGACGAGGAGGGCAGAGGGGCCTTTCCTGGATGATGGACCTCAGAAGCCCCAACTCCTCCTGTCCTCAGCTCTCTGAATCCTCTCTGTGCCCTTGACCTGCCCCGCTCCATAACTAGGCTGATTTGGCCAAGAAATGAAGTCAAACTGCAGGAACTGACTGGACAGACAGCTGGGTTCTATTTCTCTAGGTTCGCAGGGTACAAGGTAGGAGCCTGCAGGCAGGCGGCGGAGGTGGTGGTCACGCTCAAGGTCCTCATCAGTGCTGTGCCCACCTGCCTGGTCCTGGTTGGGCTGTGCATCCTCATGGTCAGACCCACTCCCCGGCTGCCAGGCCAGGACAGTGCCCACCAGCAGAGCCTCCGGAGGTGGGCACCATGCGCACCTGGGACACACAGGCAGGGCCACCAACCCCAGGGAGATACACAGAGGTGCCCACGCCAGCCTGCGGACGTGCTGCCCCTGGGCACCATTCCCTCCTGGCTGTTCTACTCTTCCCCGATCCACCGCCTCCCTACACACACCTGGTGGACCGAGGTGTACGAAGGTTCCCTCTTTGATTCTGTGCATTTGCTCCCAATATTTCCTGTCACCTCATCTACCCATGTGACCAAGAGCAGTTTCCTCCCAGTGACTCTCAAAACCACCCTCACACAGACTTCCTTCACGCTCCATACCCAGAGAGACCACACTCACCGGACATTCTCACTGCTACCCCACGGCACTGGTCTCGGCCCTAAACTGACCCATCTGCCCCACGTCACCCTCAGTGAATGAAACCATCTTCTGCCCCGGAGCCCAAACCTGCGAGACAGCTGCTGAAAATACCACGGGGCTCTGTGGCAGGGCAGGGGCCCCATCTCACCCCCACCTTCCCTTTGTTTCCTTCTCATCATTCAGGAAGAGCAGCCTCAGCCTTGCTTCAAATTCAAGAGGACTTCTGTGAGCAGAACAGCAGGAGCCCCGGAGTCCCTGTTCTCGGCCCTTTTGCACCTCACCTTACCCACATTTTAGCACGGGGCGCTGTCCTCCAGGTGGGCATCTCCAGTGACGATTCCTATGGGCCTAGCCTGGCTCCAGGATGCCCACCTGACCTCTCCTGCCCATGGATCACACAGCATCTCAGGCCCGTGCCCGGCCACACCAGCTCCTGACAGCCTTTGCAGCACAAAAGCATCCCGGTGGCAATCTTCCTGCCAACAGGAAGTGTCTGCCTGCCCGGCCTGCCCAGAGGCTCCCCTTAGGGAAGGACAGACAGACACACCAGACCTCCCTGAAGCTCCAGCAGACATGAGCACCCAGAGGCCGAGACACCACATGAGTGCGCGAAGCAGAGGTGGATGGCATGCTGGGGACAGGAGGGGTACAGAGACCCAGGGACCAGCCCTGGTGAAGGAGGGCACTGCAGTGGGATGAGGTTCCTGGCCTTTTGCCATCACATGAGGTGACAGCTCTGCTTCTAATCAGGGATGGGCTGACGCTGAGCCACCAGAGGCCACGCGTTTCACCAACACAAGCTACCTGTGCGGAGTGTCTCTCTGAAACCCTGTCTTCTTATAGCAGGCACCAGGGTTTTCTAGAGGCCACGTCTGTGGGGAAGAAAGATCTACTAAGCTCTATTTTTTTGAAACAAAGGAAAAAAATAAATCAATGGGTTTATCTTGTAGACTGCAGAACGTGGCTGGACAGCCTTCTTGTCCCGCCGCTGGATCTGCTGAGGAGGGGAGGAGGGTGTCCAGGGTCCTGAAACTCACTGCTGCCCCGGTCACTCGGCCCCAGTGTGCACCTTCCTGAGACCAGGGTCACCAGCAGGGAGCTGGGTTCCTGTCCTCTGCACAGACACAAAGCTGAGCCTCCAGAGGGGCCCAGGGCACGGGCACTGCTTTGAGTGGCGGAGGGCCTGGGGATGGGAGGTGGCAGAGGATCTGCTGGGTTCAGGGCCCAGAAGCAACTGCTCAGCACGATACATGTTTGCTGAACGAACAAGTGAACGTCTGTATCACTCGCCTCTTAAACCAAAACCACTGTACCGGTCCCTCAGCTTCGGCCCCATAGCCTGCAGCTCTGGTCTTTCCCACCGTGCTATTCCTGTCTCTTTGTCCTCACAGTGAGCCTGGCCCCTGGCCACCACAGCCATGGAGGCAGTGTGGCCGGACGGGATGGGCGCCAGCCAGGAGAAAGGAGACAGGAGTTTGTGCTGCTCCTGGCTTCGCCACACACGACCGGTTGACTTTTTAACAATCTGGTGCCTCTGCCTCTGGTTTTGAGACAGTGCAGCCATGTGGCCCCAGCTGGCCCTACACTCCTGGGCCCACACTGTCCTCCTACCTCAGCCTCCTGAAGAGCTGGACATTTCTTTTCTTTTTTCAGCTACTGGGGGTCGAACTCAGGACCTTGCACTTGCCCGGCAGGTGCAGCCCCAGTGAGCTACGTCCCCGGCCCCTGGACATTTGTCTTGGACAAATGTGCTACATACACTTTGGGATGGCGTTAGGGGTTAAGAGGTGATACCAAGCAGGTACCAGTGAGAGTGTCCTCAGCACTAGGTGGGACATGGTCTCAAACCCTGCCCCGCGGGCCTCACCTCCGAGGTGACCTGTGCCACTCTCTCAATGTGCCTTGGTGTCACGGGTACTGCAGTCTCACCCACCAGACCCTACTGCCACTCAGGCTCTGCTAGGCCAGCTACCTTGGTGAGCGCGCTCCAAGCAATTCGAGCAAAGCCAGACTCGTCACCTCTCCCCACAGGACATCTCTGATGGCCTGGGACACTCGGGCCAGGTGTGGCAGCGCACATCTGGACTCCCTGGACTCCAGAGGCTGAGGAGAGGATCATGACTTCAAGGGCAGCCTCAGCTACCCAGAGATAGCCAAACTGGCCTGAGCACAAACCCACCTCGAAAAACAAAACCATGAGCAATAAAGCCAGTGCAGTCCTATCAAACTACCAGTGGCATTCTTTATAGAACTAGAAAAAATTAGGCTTGACTTCATATGTAACCACATGCGCGCGCACACACACACACACACACACACCCCAACAGCCAAACAACTCTTCAGTGAAAACAATAAAGCTGTGCCAGGCATGGGCATGGTGGCATACACTTACAATCCCAGCACTCAGGAGGCTGAGGCAGGAGGATTGCTGTGAGTTCAAGGCCAGCCTGTACTAAAAAGTGAGACCTTGTCTCAGGGAAAAAAAAAAAAAAAAAGCTAAGGGGCCAGGACTTAGCCTCGTGGTTCCACCGCAAGTGCAAGGTCCTGAGTTTGATCTCTGATACCAAAAAAAAGGGGGGGGGGCTGGGGATTTAACTCAGTGATGCCATCTTTCCTCACAAATACAAGGTCTCTGGTGCCAAAAAAATAAAATAAAACAAACAAAGCTAAAGGTATAACTACCTGACCTTGAAATATACTATACAAACCAATATATAGAGATCAAAACAGCACAGTACTGGATATAACAGACACATAGATCAGTGGAACACAAAAGAAGGCCCAATATGTATATGTACCAATTCCCCAAGTGATAATGAATGCAATTAATTATCATGTATCAAACATATACTAAACAAAACTATTTTCAAAAAGCCCTGAAATAAATCCACACATGTACAACCAGATGGAGTCTCACTATGTAGTCCAGGCTGACCTTGAACTCCTGCCCCAGCCTCCTGAGCACTGGGATTACAGGTATACACCACCACATATTTGATTTTTGACAAAGTATCCAATGAGAAAAGAACAGTCTCTTCAATAAGTGGTGCTGGGAAAACTGGACATCAACATGCATTAAGTAGAATAAAATTAGCTGGGTGTGGTGACGCATGCCTGCAATTCCTGCTTTCTGGGAAGCTGAGGCAGAAGGATCCCAATTTAAGCTCAGCCTGGGCAATTTAGCAACTGCCATCTGATAGGGGCTGAGCTAAAATATGCAAGGAATTACTTTTTTGTTTTGTTTTGACAGGGTCTTATTATGTATTTCAGGCTGGGTTTGAACTTACTAAGTAGCTCAAGCTGGCCATCCTCCTGCCTCGGCTGCCTGAGCACCGGGATTACAGGTGTGTGCTACCACACCTGGCTTTGTCTCGTTTTTCATCTCTTCATCTCCCAGGGATTGTTCCTTCTTGGCTTGCTGCCCAGTGTTTTGAGAAGTGTTGTTTTATATTTGTCCACTGTTTTTATTAATTTAGGCAGGAGGCTCTTTTTTGGTGGGGCGGTGGTATCAGGGATTGAACTCGGGTCATTGTGTCTGCGAGGCAGGTGGCAGCACCACTGAGCTAAATCCCAGCCTGGCAGGAGGCTAGATCTTGTATGTATTGCTATATCCTTGCTAAAAGCAGCAATCTTTCCAGGGTTTGTTTTGAGAGTTTTGTTATTCACTCCAGGCCAGCCTTGGCCTCTAATGGTCACCCTCCTGCCTCTCTTTCATTGAGGCAATCCTGCTCCACTTTTATTTATTTCTAGGTACTTCCTATTTTTTTGTTATACTGCTAATGACTTTTTTGTGATACCAAACCCAGCAGTGCCCTACCATTTAGTTACATCCCCAGCCCTTTTAAAAATTTTCTTGAGTCAGGGTCTAAGTTGCCTAGGCTGTTCTTGAATTTGCAATCCTCCAGCCTCAGCCTTCTGAGATTCTGTAACCTGGGGTCACAGGCATAGGCCCCAGCACCCTGCTCTTAACATTTTAAAAATTATATTTATAGCCAGGCATGGTAGCACATGCCTGTAATCTTAGTACTCTAGGAGGCTGAGGCAGGAAGAACGCAAGTTCCAGCCCAGCCTGGGCAATTTAGCAGTTTAGCTAGACTCTGTCTCAAAATAAAAAACAAAAGAAATGGGGATGTAGCTTAGAGAGAAAGCCCTGGCTTCAATCCTCAGTACCACTACATTTTTAAAAATGTAATAAACTAAAACTGTTTTATAACTTGCTGGTATATGAAAATCCAAGTCGTTTTTGTTAATCTACTATACTCTGCTGTACTCTCATTCTAACAATTTGTAGATTATTTTGAGTGTTCTATATAGGCAATCTTATCGTTTATAACATGACTAATTCATTATTTTACCGTACTGCTGGATCCCATAATGGAGCGTTAAGGAGAAACACTGACCATGGGCATCCTTGCCCTACTGATGGATTGGTTGACTCATCTTTTAAAAAATGTTTCTCTGGGTGTGAGAGTGCATGCCTGTGATCCCAACACTCAGAAGGCTCAGGCAGGAGGATCTCAGGGAGTTTGAGGCCAGCCTGGGCTACATAGTAAGTTCAAGGCCAGCCTGAACCACAAAGCGAGACTCTGTCTCACATTTGAGAACTCTATACATTTATGGGTGTGATGTGAGACTTTGATCCATGTATAGGATTACACATCATGTTACTGCCATGACCAAATCTGTGGGACTGGCACATCCATCACTTAAACCGTTTTCATTTCTTTGGGGTCACAGCATTCAAAATCTCTTCTATTTTTTTTATTCTGCTTACATGTTTTTATTTTTTCTAGCTCTTTGGAAATAGACATGGTTAATTATTCTGCGCTACAGAAACCCGCATTTCTTTCTGCTCCAAGTGGCTGTGCACCCTAACCCCATCTCGTCTCCCTCCCCGGGCATTAGTAACTGCTGCTGTCCTCTCCACGAAGACATCTGTTGTTTCAGACCCCCAGTGCGGGTGAGGTCCTGTTATCTGCCTTCCTGCTTCCTCCATGTCCCACAAACACAAGGCTTCTCTCTGCATGTGGCTGGCACTGCTCTCGTGTGTACATACTGGAGGCCATATTTTCTTTAGCCAGTCATCTGCTGATACACAAATGTCCACCTGCTGCCTTCTGTGAATAATGCTGCCAATAAATGGGAGTGAGGGCATCCTCACATACTGATTTTTTAAAAACTTTTTGGTGACAGGAATTGAACTCAGGTCCTTGCACTTATGAGGCAGGCTGCAGCACCACTGAGCTAAATCCCTGGCCCTCCGTTTTTATTTGTGTTTATTTGTTTGGTTGACTTTTTTGGTACCAGGGATGGAACTCGGGACCCTGCACTTGTGAGGCAGGTGGCAGCACCACGAGCTTAATTCCCGGCTGCTCACTTTTAATTGTTAAATTACTACATGTTAAGCCAGGGTGGTGGCACACACCAATAATCCCAGAACTCAGAAAGCTGAGACAAGGACTGTCTTAAATTGTAGGTCAGCCTGGGCCTCACAGTTTTCAAGGCCAGTCTAGAATACAGAACAAGACCCTGTATCCAAAACCGAAAAACAACAAAAAGTACATGTCGGCAGAACTTAATAATCACATTGCTCACAGGGAGCTGTAAGGTACACAACACATCCCAATTCCTTTTTCAGCCCCTTCCCACTTACACAAGGTCTCTCTCCCCATTTCGTATTATCAATCTTTTAGTTTGTGTTTCTCGTTTAAGAGGAACCGTGTGGCACTTAGGCTTGTGTCTGATTTATTTCACTGAACTTTATGGTCTCAAGGTGCATCCATTTTCTTACAGATGACTCAAGTTTATCCTTCTTCGTGACAGAGTAGTACTCTATTATGTATAAATACCACATTTTCTTTATCCACTCATCTGCTGAAACAGAGGCTGCTTCCATAGGTTAGCTATAATGAATTGTGCCGCTATAACCATGGGTATACACGCATCAGTGTAATATGATGAACTCTGGCAGGGTGACATCTGGAAGGGGAACAGCTGCGTCAAATGGAATTCCCACTTTCAGGTTTCTGAAGAATCTCCATCCTGATTTCCGAAATGGTTGTGCTAGTTTACACTCCCACCAACAATGTAGAAGGGCCTCCCCACCCCTACCCCCACAGCCTCTCTAGCATTTTCTATTTTTTTGAGACAGGGTCTCCCTGTGTAGTTCAGGCTGGCCTTGAACTCACTATGTGGCCCATGCTGGGCTCAAACTTGTAATGATCCTCCTGCCTCAGCCTCCCAAGTACTGGTATTACAGGCATGCGCCACCACACTTGGCCCAGCATTTATTTGATTTGATCATAGCCATTTTCTTAAGGTGGAATCTCAATGTTGTTTCAATCTGTATTTCTCCAGCGGCCAGAGATGCCAAATATGTACTCACACATTTACCGGCCATCTGTAGTTCAATTGAGAAGGGAACATTCATTTCACGTCCCCATTGTTTTTTCCCGGTACCAGAGATAGAACTCAGGACCTTGCATTGCACTTGCCAGGCAGGCGGGGCGCCACTGAACCACATCCCATTTCTCTCAGGTTGTTAGGGGGTCTAATTTTTTGAATTCTTTATATACCCTAGGTATTAGTCCTCGGTGAGAGGAACAGCGGGCCAGAATCTGTCCCCATCCTGAGAGCAGGGTGAAGAGGCGGCGAGGGCCACCTGCAGACCAAGCAAAGCCGTGCACTGCCGCACGCTGCACCCCGCGCCTGCTTCCTACCAGTCACCACCCTCCCGTGAGAGGCAGAGCGGGAGAGACTGCGCGAGAGACGGCCACAGAGAAGGCCCACAAGGCTGTCCGCAGACCGCTGCCCAAGCTGAAAGGCCCCCGCAGAGAGCAGGGAGAAGGTGCCCAGAGAGGGAAAGATGACGCCGGCGAGGACGGGAGGGCCCCGCGGCAGATGGAGAAGCCGGGGCAGGCTGGGCACAGGCAGAGGTGCTGGAGATGCCAGGTCCGCGCGCTTTTGAGAACTGTACCTGGGGTGAGCGTACGGTTGGAAATACTATTTTGTACTAAGTTTGCCTTACTGTTTTTTAAAGCTGTGTCAGCACACAGAACACTTCCTTTGGAGAAGGCCATATTCACTCATGCAGTCTCCGAGGCTGGCCGGATGTGGGGAAAACGCCTCTCCCTGCTGGTCCAGAGCCTTCCCCGCCCAGGAGGAGGGTTCCCCGACACTGACACGCATGGCCACCTTGGCACAAACGCCTGGAGTTCATCTTCTGTCCTCCTCTCCTTCTCCTCACCAGCACAGACTTGACTCCCTGAAGCCCAGAGAGCCACCAGGGCCTGACTCCCAGACTGCCGTCACCAGGGGAGCACCCCGGACTGGCGGGGAACGCTGAGGTGGTGTCCACGAGAGCAGCGCGTTCTTCTTCTGGGTCGCGGGTCTTCAGACTGGGGATTCTGCCACTTTCACTTCATTTCCTGGAAGTCAGGGTCGGCTTGTGAAAAGTTGTTGAGCAACATGCTAAGTGCCAAGTGTCAGCCCTCGCGCTGAACTTTCCCTCTTCCGAGCATCAAGCGAAGACTTCACTGGATTGTGCAGTGGCTTTCGGACTTCCACAGTGCCTCCGAGAAGGGAGTCTGAAAGTCGAGTACTGCTAACAGCGGAGTGCCTACCTCTCCCTCGAACACCGCAACCTCTTATGAAGAGTATCTTTATAACGTGGATATAGTTTAGCCTGGGGAAAAAATATCTGTTCCCATTCTGTAGGTTGTCTTTTCACTCTGTGGGCTGTTTCCAGTGCTGTGCAGAAGCTTTTTAAAGTGATAGAATCCCGTTTGTCAATTACAAACTGATTTTAAGCGTGGTGTGGCGCGGGACCCGTGTAATCCCAGTACTAGGGAGGAGGAGGTAGGAAGATTGCTGGGAGTCCAAGGCTAGCCTGGACTACATATACACAGCAAGACCCTGTCTCAAGAAAACAAAAGCAAACAAGGAAAAACAGACAGTATGTTGCTTAGGCCAATGTGTAAATCAGCAGTGGAACAACTTCATTTATTTATTTATTGTTGGTACTGGGGATCAAACTCAGGACCTTGTGCTTGTAAGGCAGGTGCAGCGCCATTGAGCTAAATCCCCAGCCTGGAACAACTTTTAATAAAGAAAAGGACAGAAATAGTAATTACAATAATCAGGACATTAGGTATCTTCAGTGCTGTGGAGACTGATCTAGGAGGAATATCCTAGGAAGAGAGGGAAAACTGCTTAATAGGTTTCTGGTAATGTTCTGGCTCTTAAATTAGGTGACAGGTAGTCCATTTTACAGAAAGTCCTGACTTAGAATCATTCCTGTTGCAAGCTTTCCGAGGTGAGGTGTACTGTGTAGGATTCACTGTGTCAGCTTACAAATTATAAAAAATCCAAATTATGAAAAGTTGTCCTGGATCGGAACTTACTCATAAGTTGGGGACCTACTGTAATGGCTACCCTCTTCTATAGCACGTATACCCACTCAAAATTTAGAAAAACTTGGGTGCAGAATAGGGTTTTTTTGGTATGGGAGATCAAACATAGGACCTTGCACTTGTGAGACAGGCAGCAGAATCACTGAGCTAAATCCCCGGGCCCCCAGAATAGGATTGTTAATAATACTTGTTATGCAAAGTATTTTCAATGTAACATTAAATGATAATTTAAAGAATTCAGCCAATAAACACTGGATTGTTTTACACTGTCCCAATGACTAATAGAGAGGCCAAGGAAACATTTTCTGCATGAATTGTCATAGAATTAGACTTTTTTTTTTTGAGACAGGCTGACCTTGAACTCACTGTGTAGCCCAGGCTGACCTTGACTCAACAATCCTCCTGCCTCAGCCTCCTTTGTGGTGGGATTACAGGTGTGTGCCACCACCCTCCATTTGAAATGAAATATGAAAAAAAATTGTATTCTGGACTGCGTGCCCTAGAAAAAGATATAAAACAAGATGCACATGTATGAAATCAAGAGCATTTCTCTAACCAGTAATAATCAGAAAATACCAAAACATCCATAGAGATCATAACGGTCACACCGCTCTCACTCAAGGTCCCTCAGCCCCTTTGGGCTTCATACAACTGTGATCTCACTTCCTCTGCAGATGGAGCCAGACCTCAGACGACTGTCCCCAGCCACCACGCTCCGACCACTGCTCACAGACCAGAAGCCTCCGCTTCCATTATCCCAGCAGTTAATGCACCTGAACCACAGTGGCCCTCGCTTCTCTCCTAGGTAGCCCAGCTCCATCTTCATAAACTGTGGGACAGGCAGGAGTTCCCAAAGGAGCCCCATATCATCTTTCAGGACAATTTTAAAGGGGGGAGGTGCTAATGGACCATCTGCGGCAGGAAGAGTGTACTGCAGATGGGCTGTCTGGCCACCCTGCGGGGCCTGAACCGGGATTCTTCAAGGCGCTGAGGAGCACTGCGTCCGTCCGAAGGGATTTGGGCTCTTTCATTACCTAGCTGGTACTTCAGCCATAAAGAGAACGAGCTGGTACTTGCCATACCCGAGTTAGGAACATCTTCCACTTTCTTAAATGCTTTCATAGTTTACACTGATCTCTAAAACTTGAAAGAGAAAAATCTAAATTAAAGTGACAAAAATAAAGAGAAAAAAACAAATAAAGTGACAAGCTGGGCTAGCGGTGTGGCCCAGTGGAAGGACGTTTGCAGAGGACGTACAAGGCCTGGGCTTGGTCCCCAGGTCACACAAAAACGTGACAAGTTAACTAACAGGGTTGACTATTAGGGAGCTGTCATGACACCAGAGCTGAAAAACATTAAGCAGCACATCTCAGGGAGATCCCGAGCAGGCACAGGAGATTCTCCTCAGGGCCCACCGGTGGCAGCCAGGGCACTGACACATCAGGAGCTCCGGGTCAAATCATGGGAGTTTATTCCGGGCGGGCAGCCAGGGCCAAGTCAGCAGCAGGCAGACCTCTGTCAGCCACATTTCTTTGCTGTCACAGGCTTGGGGCATTTTTGCTCATCGGTTTAGGTGTTTTGAGACAGGGTCTCACTATGTAGCCCAGGATAGCACTGAACTCTCCATCCTCCTGCGTGAACCTCCCAAGTATGGGAATATAGCTGTGCCCTACCACAGCAGGCTCAAAATATGTTTTAAATTTTAAATGCTATTTTTCATTTTGTTTTGACCAGGGCCTCGCTATGTATTCTTGACTGGCCCTGAACTCACTTTGTAGTCCAGGCTGGCCTTGAACTCCTAGAGATCCTCTTGTCTCAGCCTCTCCAGTGCTGGGATTACAAGTGCATGCCACCATGCCTGGCCAGAAATTGTTTAAGGATGCAAGAGAGTTGGGTTTAAATCTTGGGAGGAACGGCCAATGTCGGAGAGACCTCCAGCACCTGGGAGCAGAAGTCAGTTTTTCGGCCTCCTTTGGTCTGAGGTTGGAAATAAGCGGCAGCATAAGTCACTCTCCCTGCCCCATAGCAGTGCTCCTTGCCCTCCACTCAGAGCCACGACAAGCAACACTGCTCCGGACCAGGCACACAAAGCTCAGAGAAACCATGGGCCGCAAGGCACAGGGTACCAGCGTAGGCGCTCTGCCCTCAGATGCAACTCCATGGTCATGCCCGCGGAAAGATCCCATTCTGAGCCATGTGACACAGACACCGAGTGCTGCTACAGCCAGTCTGCCTTGGCCAGGGACCCCGCCAGGGCCACCACGACGGTGCCTGCCTGTGACGCTGGAGACGCACGGAGTCTACGAGGCAGAGTGACCTCGCCATCACGGGCTCCCAGAAACGCATCAGGCCACACTGTCCACGCGTCAAGGACAGTCCGGGGTGTCCCGGCCCCGGGCAGTAAGGTCTCCGGAGCCCTCCGGCCGAGGCACAGCGTCCCCACTGTGAGAGAGAGAGGCCCTGCGGACCTCCGAGCGGCGTGGACTGCCGTCCCGCACTACGAGCACCTGGGAGGCCATGAAAGTCAGGGGAATGAAGCCTTCGCTGTCAGCAGAAAGCAGGATCCAGCAGGAGTCTGCAAAGAAAAGAACTATTGGGTCATTTAGGGTATGAACTCCATAAAGAAAAGGAGACTACAAAAAGAAAAAAGCCAGTAATCCCAGCACTCGAGAGGCTGAGGCAAGAGCGCCAGGGTAGAGGCATGCCTGGCTACACATCACTTCACGCCTGCTCGTGGCCAGATGCAAATTCCCCGTGATGAGTGGCATCAGCATGTTTATCTAAGATGTACCGATAAAAGCTTGGCTAAAAAATGTTCAAGCCACTGAGATTCCACCTCACCCCACAAAGAATGGCTGCTATCAAGAAATCACACAATAACAAATGTTGGCGGGGTTGTGGGGAGAAAGGAACCCTTCTCCGTTGTTGGTGCGAGTGCAGACTGGTGCAACCACTGTGGAAATCAGTATGGAGATACCTCAAAGAGCTGGGACTGGAGGTTCCATTTGACCCAGCCATCCCTCTGCTGGGTATCTTTCCAAAAGAACTAAAAGAATCGTATCATAGTGATATATACGCACCCATGTTTATAGCAGCACAGTTCGTAATAGCTAAAACTTGGAAACAACCCAAACATCCATCAACTGGAGACCGAATAAAGAAGATGGGGCTTTTCTATAACATGGAATATTATTCAGCCATAAGAAAGAGAAATTAGATTCATTCATAGGGAAATGGATACATTTTGAGGATATACTCCTAAGTGAAACAAATAAGTCACACATGTAAATACCGAATAGTTTCCCTGGTGTGAAAAACTATAATTGTAAATAATATCCATTAGGATCCATTAGGTATATACATATCCATTAGGTATAATTGACAATGTGAAATGGGAAGAAAAGGGCTAAAGGTGTAGGGGAAGTGGGGGAAGGGTAGGGGAAAGGAAATAAGGGAAAAGAAAAAAATATAAGAAAATGAAAAAATGGAAATAAAGTTTTTGTAAATAGGGAAAGGAGGAGGGGGTGAAGGGAGGGCAGGAGTATGGGGAAAATGAGAACCAAGACCGGTCATGTAAAGGTACAAGTTCCCAGTGATGAATGTAACTGTACTGTATATGTAAAATGTACCAATAAACTCAATGAGGAAAAAGAAAAGTTCAAGCCTGCTCCACTACCCCATAAGATCATGTCCCCAAAACAAACAAAAAACAGAACAAAAGAAAAAAGCTATGCGTGGTGGTATGAGCCTGTAATCCCCACACTCTGGGAGGCTGAGGCAGGAGGATAAAAAGTTCAAGCCTATCCTAGGCAACTTAAGAGTCTCAAGACCCTGTCTCAAAATAAAAAATAAAAAAGTCGGGCATATAGCTCAGTGCAAAGGGCCTGGGTTCAATCCCCATTACTGCAAAAATAAAAAAGGTGGCAGCAAAAGAAACAGATGACTAAAAAAACTTTACTATAATATGGTAGTTGATATTGAATCTCATCATAAGATTTTACAGAGAGCAGGAAATAAAAGAGTGGAATATTACTTGGGGTAAGGTCAAGTGGGCACGGTGGCACACTCCTATAATCCCAGAACTCAAGAGGCTGAGGCAGGTGGACTGCCAAGAGTTTGTTGGCAGCCTGGGCTACACAGTAAGTTCAAGGCCAGCCAGGAATACACAGCAAGACCCTGCCTCAAAAAACAGAGAACACACAACTTAGGATAAGGATAAGTTTAGATGATCCAAAGTCAGTCGCTTTGGTACTGCTAAGGAGCACAGGCAGGCACTCCTGCTGTGTGTGAGCGCACATACGGGTGGTACCCCCACACTGGCATGTCCGGCAGCTCCTCTAAGCCGTCCAGTTGGGAATGCTATTCTGTGGAGGAGCCCCCCTCGGTCTGCAGATCTGTACTAACCCAAGGCATCCAGAGAGGCTGAGCTGACCCGGCAGCCTGCAGGGCTCCAGGACATCTGCATGATTTGTTCTAGGGGACCTAGGGGCCTCTAGTGTAACTCAGGCTTGGCCCTTCAAGGCTGTGCCTTACCTTCTGACCTGTGATTTCACGTCTCACAATCTGCACTCCTAAAATTAACGTATAAAAATATGCAGAGAGGATTTTCTTAGTTATTTATAATGGTGAAAAACTGAAAACCACCTAAATGTGACAAAGAAAAATAGAGCAAAATAAAACACTGCACACCTCAGAATGGACTATTAACCCATTCATTTAAAATGGCGATTATGGGGCTGGGATTTAGCTCAGTGGTTCCACCACCTGCCTCGCAAGTGCAAGGTCCCGAGTTTGATCCCTGGCACCATAAATAAATAAACAGATAGATAGATAGATAGATAGATAAATAAAATGGCAATTATAACCCAGGTGTGGCAGTGCACACCCATAATACAGTATTCAAGAGACTAAACCAGGAGGAGAGCCAAAAGTTCAAGGCCAGCCTGGACTACCCAGCAAAACCCTGTCTCAAAGCGAGCAAATAAGATGAAATGATAATTATAAAGCTGTACATAAATGTACATGTCAATACTGAAAAATGTTGCGATGCCACCTTACTTTCCTCTTCTCTGAGACAAAATACCTAACACCCACAACGTGAAGCAGTTTATTATGGATCACATTTTAAAAGCTCCAGTCCTTGGATGGCCAGGGGCACCATGGAAGGGGAGGCAGAGAGAGGGAAGGGAGAGACATGTGGCTTCCAGGCCATGCCCCAGGGAGTGGCCTCTCCCCAGCAGGCTCTGCCTCCGGAGGGTACATTAGCTATGGTGCCTCCACAGCTCAGTCATAGGAACGTGGGACACACCTAGAGATAAACCACAGCGAAGGTTAAAGGGGAAAAAGGAAATACTTTATGTTCAATGTGGGGCCACTCCTAAAAGAACGAGGCTAAGAAAAGAGCCATGCTCCCTGCCTGATGACTGCGGTCCCAGTCGGTGCTTTGCCACGCAGGAGAGTCATTCTGATCTCCATGCTCGCTCCACATTAGAGCCACGGTTCCTTTAAGGAATATTCTGCAACGCTGCTGTTTTCTTTCAGTACAACAGGCACAGGTGAGGTAGCCATGTGGCTGCCTCCTTACCACTGTTGTTTATTACTCTGACTCTTTCCTGGTCTTTTCAAGTGCACATTTAATTGTTTCATCTACCCTCTAAAATCCCTAAGAGCAGAACCCGTATTTCCCATGTGTTTTGGAACCTCTGATTGGCCTGGGTATAGAACAGCCAATTAGTAATTCTTGTCCACTACCCAGTGAATTACAGAGTGGTTTCCAGCAAATCACGCAATGTCTGGTACAGATTATTATGTTTACTTTTTCTTGGCAGTACTGGGGGTAAATCCAGGGCCTTCGCACTGAGCTAGTGATAGAGAAAAATTTGTAAATAACCAAAGACCTATAAAATGTTAGGAAAACGTAGGATGGCTTCTGCTCTTCTAGCTGAAATCTGATTTGTTCAGTTCAAAATTAACAGACACTGAAGGCATTAACCGTAGAATGGGACATCTGGCCTTATCCTGAGATAACAGGGCACAGGAGACTCTGAGCTCCAAAGTTTTGTGAGCCACATGATTGTAAAAATGTCAAGATGAAGAGAACAATTGTTTTAACTTTCCTTTCCTGACCTTGAACACCCCTTTCCTGCAGGCTAGAAGAGACAGCAAGACTAATCTTAAAGGTAAACCCCTAACTACAAAGAATTGCTACATCTGGGTTAAACTGAGAGAATGAAATGTAACCATCTGAATGGGGTGAAGGCTGTAAAACCCTATAATAGAAGGAGCTGTAACCCAGTGAGCGGCCGATCTCTGGCACTGCCTTTTTTACGTGCGATCAACCTTTTGTTGACAAAATAAACCTTTTCTTATTTTACTCCCATTCTGAGTCTCTGTGTGTACATCACTTACCAATTCCTTCTGTACATCCCTGGCCTTTTTTATTTTAAATTTGAGGCAAGGTCTCACTGAGCTACCAAGAGCCGAAGCTAGGCCTGAGCCTGCCACCCCACTGCAGCCTCAGAGTGCGGGATTTCAGGCATTCTCCCCAGACCGGCTGACGGCTCCATCTTATTACAAGTGTAAGGTGCGAAATAGGGGAAGGAGGGGGTGGTTCTGAATTTAACCTACCATGCAGCATTTCAATGAGAGAGAGACCGAACATCTGCTGGATCATACTGAGCCTCAGTTTGCCATTGCAGAGAAGCACCATTCTTCTTTCAACAGGACCTGTATAACCAGGTTTCTTCAAATCAAAACAAAAGTTGTTAAACTGATTGCAAAAAGCAAGTTAACATTTCTTTCATTTGAGGGGGATGGCATTGATCTTTTTGAGACAGGTTCTTGCTATGTACTTCAGGCTGGTCTTGAACTCACTATGTAACCTGGGCTGGCCTCAGATTCACAGAGATCCTCCTGCATCAGCCTCACAAGTGCTGGGATTATAAGCATGTACTACCACAGCCAGCAAAATACCTCTTCTTGACTATTACTTAAGTAGTAATTTATATGCTACTGATTTCAGTGTCAACACCCTATAAATATCTTTTAAAATAAATACATATATCCATGATCATCAAATCAATTTGGTATCAATAACATTTTATATAGAGATGAGCATGATAGTAGTTACCGTATCTAGGATTCAGAACACATTCCAGCATACATGTTTAGATATGACAAATGTGGTAAAATAAACTTCGTGGGATAAAGATGGATTTTTTTTTTGGTACCGGAGATTGAACTCAGGACCTTGTGCTTGCAAATCACGTGGCGGAACCACTGAGCTAAATCCCTGGCCCCAAAGATGGGATTTTTTTTTTTTTTTCAAAGATGGATTTTTAACAGTGTTGCTAGGACCGTTGATTATCTCTTAGAAAATAGGAGTGGGTCATATACAGAAACAAACTAAAGGGCTGGGGATTTAGCTCAGTGGTACCGTGGCTGCCTCACAAGCACAAGGTCGTGTGTTAGATCCCCGGCCCCCGATATCGAACAACAACAAACAAAACAAACCCTAAAGATTCAAAACTTCAATGTAAACTACGAGCAGTGGCACAGCCTATAATCCCAGTACTGAGGGCCCAGACAAGAAGATCACAAGTTGGAATCCCACCTGGGCAACTAAGCAAGACCCGATCTCAAATTAAAAATAAAAAGTGCTGGGAAGAAATTTGATGGTCAAGTGGCGATGAATTTAATCCCTACACAAGCATTCCCTCAAAACTGAAAAGCTTAAATGCAAAAACTAAAATACTGTCAAGAAAACCGAGAGATCATATGTGTGCTCACTTCTATACTATCTGAAAACTGCATATACACTGATAACCTAAGAGGGCAAAATGAACACAGGAAACTCACATTCAACTGGCTGAAAAGCAGGACAACATAGTCAAACTCACCAATCAATAAAAGTGAAATATATCACGCTGGCCTCACTGGTGATGTGTGAGGAAAAGGACAACCATATTTTGCTGGTGGTGTGTGAAGTAAAGGAAAATACCCCTGAAAGAGCATATAGGATCGCTATCGAAACTACAAACACAAATACTCTTCACAGTTCGCTTCCACTTCTGGGAACCAATCCAACAGAAATAAAGGGCCTAATCCAGATGGGCAGACCCTGTTTCAGCACTGTCTGGAGTGGCTGGTGACTGGAAATCCAGTGACTGGCAGTCTACAAGGGAACAGCCACACACAACACACGACACTGCACCGTAGGAGTCTGCTTTTGTACAGTAATGTCAAACCACTCCACACATACCTATAGTATATATTTACTATACAAAAATCTGTGTTGGATCATATGAGTGTGGAGAAAAATACAGAAGGATCCAGTAAGCTAGTTAAAGTGGGTTATGGGGAGGATAGGGTAGGGCCACATTCAATGTAAAATCAAGTATGCATGAGAAAAACACATAGGATATGAGCCCAATTAAATAATGTATCCTGTACTCTGCTTTCACTTCAAATCATATCAATCTTTTGCCTTTTAAATAATGTATCTTTGCTGGGTGTGGTGGTACACGTTTGTAATCCCAGCAGTTGGAAGTCTGAGGCAGGAGGGTCACCACAAGTTCAAAATCAGCCTGGACTATATAATGAGACCCTGACTCAAAATATAAATAAAGAACCCTTGCACATACCTGAATAGGTGCATATAAAGCATTCAAAATGAATGCAACTTCCCTGTGTCTGAAATTTAAATCTCCACTGAATAAAGAAAAGGTTTACACAACAAAATTACTCAATTGAAAATATACTTTTTTTTTTGGTACCGGGGATCAAACTTGGGACCTTGCACTTGCGAGGCAGGAGGCAGAACCACTGAGCTAAATCCCTGGCCCAAAAATATACTTTTTACTGGCTGAGCACCGTGGTGCATACCTGTAATCCCAGCTACTTTAGAAGCTAAGGCAGGAAGATGGAAAGTTTCCAAGATTAAAATTTTTGAGTCAGCCTGGACAACTTAGCAAAAACCTGTCTGAAGACACAACAAAAAGAGTTGGGTAAACAGCTCAGTGGTGGAGCGCTTGCCTAGCATGGGTGAGGCCCTGGGTTCAATGCCCAGGATCAAAATGTAGTTTTTTCTAAATATAGTATTTTTTCAGATAGGGTCTCACTATGTAGTCCAGGCTGGCCTCGAACTCACTGTGTAGCCCAGGGTGGCCTTGAACTCGTGGCGATCCTCCCGCCCTAGACTCCTGAGTATTGCAATTTCGCCATCATGCCAGCATCTAAATATAAATTGCCAGAGTGAGCAAGTGGTCACTTTTCGCACTAAGCACATGATAAAATCGGTGCGCACCAGTGTGTGCACCCAGCTGGTTGGCAGGTGAACATCCAACGTCTGCAAAGGTGGATCAGCTCGCCTGAAACCGAACATTCCCAGGTCAGTGAAGCTCAACTCCAGCGCCTCCCCCTCCCCCACACACTTCCTGCAGTGCCCACCGAATGCAGCTTTTATGCACTGTGTAGCTCCTTGAAGAAGTTCCCTGGTAGCTGGGCAGGAGGTGCATGCCTATAATCCCAGCACTCAGGAGACCTTGTCTCAGAAAAGGAAAAAAAGTTACCTGGTAAATGATGTGAACAGAAGGGGCATCCCGAGAGGGTGGATACACTGGAGGAGAGTTTTTCCCATTGTACAGAAAATCTCTGAGTTCAAAAAGGCATCGCTGTATTTCAGTCATGTTCCTGTATAAAATTTCTAGGCCCTTGGTTTGTTGGTTAGTTTCCTCTTCCAAGTCTTCTCTTCGAGGAACATTTGGAGGTTCTGGTGTGCTGGCGTGTCCAGGCAATGATGCCCAAGCCCAGGAGGGCCTCTGCAGTGTTTCCAGGGCAACAGAGCCATCCAGGATACTGGACAGAGGACTTTTGATTTCTTCAATAAGAGTTTTTCTGGGCTTTGCACTCTGACTATTGATGTCTGCTGCTAAGAGGAGCTCTCTGTTTTGATAACAAAAATCTGCGGGAAGACTTTCAATTAACTTTTTTCCATTTGCTTTGTTTAACAGAGCACTGGAAGTAGCATCAACACTCTGGCTGCCATGAGATGTTACTGAAGAGTCTTCCAACATGACTTCTCTAACAACCAAGCGGATGACGTACTGATCAGACTCTGAAGAAGGAGGAAATGTCCTATCAGGAGACTTTTGTCTTCCTACTAAAATTAGTAATGATCTGTCCGTCATGAAACTTATGCCTTTTGGTCTTTCATCACTCTCTAACAGAATCCGCTGGATGTTTGGCATTGAAGACGGAATGACAGAATAGATCAAAATTATATTACAAGTATTGGAAGCCACCGCCACTACCTGTGTTTTGTGATTGAATGCTATCAGATCAGGAACCAGAATGCCCGGAATAGCGACTCTTCTGGTCACATCAGCCTCCTTCCCAAAGCTAACAAGGACCAAGTGAGAGGAATCCTGGCCAGTTCCTGTCAAGTAGTCCTTTTTTCTTAGACAAAGAAGAGCACTTTCCTCAGATGGAGGTCGGTTGAAATGTAAATGAGTAAGATCCAGAAGATCTGAAAAGGAAGGAGAAGCTGGTATTTCACAATCTGTTTCCGAGGCGGCTGCTTCCTCCACAGAGGACAGCTCGCCAACTACTGGAGAAATATGCAGGCCGTCCTCGCCATTAGTTGGAGCATCAATGGGTTCGGATGCATTTAAGCTACAAATCTTGTCCAGTGGAAGCTCAGTGGTGACAGCAACCTCTGAGTCCACGGTGGCCCTGAGGGAGCAGACACAGCTGTCCACACTGAACACTGGGCAGAAGGAGCCCCTGCGAAGAGCCTTCTGAGCACCGTCCCAGAGGTAAGAATGAAGGCTGCTGCCTACTGCCACCACCAGCCTCTGGCCGTCCTGGGTCCAACACGCACAGTGAATGTGGCCTTGGGTGCCGATGTCCACTTTCACCCGGGAACTGTCACAGTGAACATCCGGGAAAACAGAGGCATCGTGTGCAGTTAACACGGTTAGGACAGTGTTTTTCGGGTGCCACACACAGCCCTGGGGTAGGACAGGGAGAGACTGTCTAATCTCGGTGGTCTGAGACATCAGCCATTTGCTTGACCCCGTAGTGGTGGGACACAGCTGCCACACAGTCACGTGCTTCTTGTGCTGCACAGCAAGCAGAGCAGGGACGCCAGCCGGGTGAGGAGGGGCCCAGGAGACCCTCCTGACATGTTCGAACTGACCAAGGACGCTGGAGTCCCCAAACTCGGCCCCTCCACTGTGAAGCTGTAACTCAGTCAGGACTACCTGACTTCCATCAGTCCAGGCTAGGCCGTGGGCCGGGTGCAAGGCTTGATGCAATGCGTTCAGTCCAGTCCTAAGCAGGCTTCCTTTCCCTAACTCCATCCTTTCTGATAACAATGATCTGAAATGGTTAAGAAAAAGAGCTGCACCATGAAAACAGTCACCAGACAAATCCAGAATGCTGGCCATGTCAATAGTTAAACTCTCCACAGGCCAATACTGAGGAGGGATAAAATAATGTTGTGGGGACAGGAGGAACGTTACACATTAAAGGACTACTGAGAGGCTGGGGATTTAGCTCAATGGCACTGTGTCTGCCTTGCGAGCAGAAGGTCCTGTTCAATCACCCAGGGTGGTGGTGGGGGGACCACACAGGCTGGGGATCTAGCTCAGTGGTGCCACCCCTGCCTCTCAAGAGTTCAATTCCAAGTACAACAAAACAAAACAGACTGCCTTCCCTTTGGGTGGGGGATTTAGCTCAGTGGCATCAGCACCTGTCTGGCAAGCGCAAGGTCCTGAGTTCAATCCCCGTTCTGCCGAAAAATCAATCAAGCAATAAAAATAAGACTACTGAGGACTGGGGTGAGGGTGATACATGCTTATAATCCCAGGTACATGCAAGGCTGAGGCAGGAGGATCAGAACTTTAAGGATAGCTAGGACAACTTAGCAAGACTCTGTCTCAAAAGGAAATAAAAAGAGAGAGAGGGAGGGAAAGGGAGAGGGCAAGGATATTTTTGGAACTAGAGAAATCTGAATATGGACTGTCAGGAGACATTGTGGACTGGGAAGTAGCTCAGAGGTAGAGCACTGCTTAGCATGTATAAGGCTAATTCCCAGCAACACATACATGTAGACAGATACTGCTGAGTTATTAATTTCCCTAAGTGTACAGTGATGCTTTCTGTTTTTGTAGTACTAACAATTAATATTCCCAGGCCTCCACCTTCCTTTTTGAGACAGGATCTCACTAAGTCACTAAATTGGCCAGGGTGGGCTCAAATTTGCACTCATCTTGCCTCAGCCTCCCAAAGTGCTGGCATTACAGGCGTGCACTACCGATGCCCAGACTCTTCTGATTTATTTTGAGGCCGGGTTTCACTAAGTCAGCAGGTTGCCCAGGCTGGTCTTGAACTCCCTATCCTCCTGCCTCAGCATCCCAGAGTGCTGAGATAACAGGTGTGCACCACCACACCCACCAATGTGCTTATATGTAGCAGGAGGATGTCCTATTAAGACACATGTTGACATATTTGGGATGGGTTTATGATGCCTGCAAGTTGTTTTCAAATGGTTTAGCAATAAATAAATAAATTAATTAATTAATTAAAATAAATTTTTTTTTTTAATCTAGGGAGGCAGAAAGTAAATGTACCAAAATGTTGAACTACTGAATTCAGACTTAGCCTAATATTGGCACTTACGGTATTTTCAAGTTAGAAAAGTTTTAAATTAAAAAGTTAAGAAAATCTGCACCATTATCTACTTCTATTCAGCCTTTCACTGTCAAATCAATGAATAAATGATATTCATGCCTCTGGCTTTATTGGCACTTACTTCACGTCTTCTTCCAAACCCTTTTACCTCTCTACTGAAATGACACTTTAAGAAGTCATTATTTCCATTTCTACTTCATAATATCCCAACTGCACTTAATAATTTTAAGAACATTTTTGCATTTCCTATTGTGTTTGATCTTCCCAACAATCCTTCACATTAATGTAAAGTAGGTTGGGGAGGTGCTTGCTACAACTTTTCCATTCCGGAAAAAGTTCCCTGCTCTGCAGGCATCTGGATTACTAAAGAAGTACATATTCATTTCCATGAAATGCAGACCGAAGATGCCCAGAGCAAATCAAACTTTTCTTGTATCCCATGGTAAGGCCTCTTCATCCACTTCTGAAAATCTAGGACCTTGATAAAAGCATGGGAAACCTACACAAACGTGATATTTACTTAGCAGTACTGGAGCTCAAACTCCAGCTACATCCCATCCCTCCCCCCTTGTTTTCTGCAACACGGTCTCCTTTTGTAGTGCAGGCTGGCCTAGAACTCAAAGCGATCCTCCTGCCTCAGCCTCCTGCGAGCTGAGTTTACAGGTGTGCACCTCCATGCCCATATCCAAGCCTTTTTAAATATTTGAGACAAGGTCTTGCTAAGTTGCCAAGCTGGGCTCAAATTTGCCTCCCGACCTTGGCCCCCCAGAATGCCAACATCACAGGCGTGCACAACCCTCCCAGCTTCATGCTTTTAATCTTGATCCGTACAGGCTTATAGTATACAATGTTTACACTCCTGCTGTGGAGTCAGTGCTTGTACATTACACAATTTCACTCCTTTTTTCATCCCTTTCCCTCCCTTTGGTCCTCCAGCTTTTTATGTCTTCCCCCTTTTAGAAAGATCTACCTCCCTACTTCCTAGTATCTTTTATTTTGCCCTTTATTTATATTTGGGGTTTCTCATATAAGAGAAACCATGCAATATTTAAGCTTGTATCTGATTTATTAAAAGTATGAAACACTTCTCGTCAAACTTTCAGGCCACCCTTGTGCAGGGCCCATGCTAATCTCTATTTTGTTCCAGTTTTAGTACCTGTGCTGCCGGAGCAAGCACCGTGTTTTTTATTTTAAACAAAGAAATGAGGTTTAAGTCTGAGTGCATGAGTGGTAGCGACAGAAACCACTGGTTAATTTACAGGATCTTTGTGGGGTTTTTTTGGTACCAGGGATTGGACTCGGGTCCTTGCTCTTGCGAGACAGGCAGGCGGCTGCACCACTGAGCTAAACCCCCACCCCCCACTGGCTAATTTAAAGGAAAGAAAAAAGGTGGCAACTTAAAACCAGGCTCAAGTCAGGCGTGGACACAGCTCAGGGCCCGGCAAAACTGGTCAGGGTTAATGACCAGGCCCCCGACGCAGGTCTTCAGTAGGATGGCCTGGACCCTACAGCTGCCTGAGGCCCTGGCTCCCAGCACCGCCACTCAGCCCTTCATGCGCCGGGTTTCCTCCAGCTTTGGGCAACACAAAGGACACAGACAGAAGCTTTCCTCACCAAGCCTGCCCTGTGTCCTCCAGGATGTATTTTTATCCTGCTTTTTGACCTCTTTCATTAGGCCCAAGCTCAATCCGCAGAGCCAGTTTCTCTCTCATTCTTCACTTTTACCTTTTCCAAATAAACTTCACCACTGCCTTTCACATGTCCATTTCATTCAATTCTTTGTTTGAGAGAAGAACCTAGAATCCAGCTCCCGAAGGTGAGCAACTCCAAATCCGGTGACGTTTGGTTGGCAAGTCTCTTAGAAGGTGTTCCTGGCTAAGAGCTCAGCGAAGCGGGCCTGCGGTCTCAGCACCAGGGAGCCTGAGGCCAGCCTGGGCTACACAGTCAGACCACAGCGAAACAAAACAAAAACCAGGCTCAGAGACAGAAAGTAGTAGAAGGTGGTTGCCAGGGCAGGGGCTGGGCTGAAAGGGGAAGAACTGGCACTATTGTTTTAATAAGTACAGAGTTTCCACACACACACACACACCCGGGTACCAGGAATTGAGAGTATATAGTGGTGAGCTACATGCCCAGCCCTTATTATTATTTTTTTTCTTTCGGGTACCAGGGATTGAACTCAGGACCTCGCACTCACCAGGGTGGGCACGGTGCCACTGAGCTAAATCCCCAGCCTGAGCCCTTAGTTATTCTGAGATAGGGTCTCACTCTATTGCCCAGGATGCCTTCACATTGGCACCCTCCTGCCTCAGCCTCCTTAGTAGCTGGGACTATGGGTGGGCACCGCCACACTAAAGTTTGTTTTATAAGATGAAAATAATTAATGAAGATAGATGGCAGTGATGACTGCACAATATTACAGATGTACTTAACAGCACTGCACTGTATACTTGAAAATGGTTGAAATGGTGCTGGGCACAGTGGCACATGCCTTTAATGCCTGCTACTCAACAGGCTGAGGCAGAAGGGTTGCAAGGATACAGCTCAGTGGTAAGACTGCGCCTGGTTTGATCCCTAGCATGAGGTGGGGTGGGAGGATCACGCTCTGTAAATAAGCAGGGACCGAATGAGCGGGGAGAATAGACCACTGCTGTCACCACTGAGAGCCTTAGTGTCCCCGCACATGATGGTGCAGGCTAAAGGTCCTGAACCCTCGCTGCCCAGAGGAGGGTAAGGGAGGACCCCAACGCTGTACGGTGGCTTCTCAGGACTGCTCTCACACACGGGGATCTCTCCCGTACTAGGCAGGGGCTTTCAAAGCCGGACCTGGTCACCACCAGAATCACGGTACATATCTTTCATTCACTGTTTCCAGTCATGGTGCCTTTTCCAAGCCAGTAATGCCTGTCTGCCTTGGCCCGGAATCCCAAACAGCAGCAAGGTACTTCACGGACCACAACTGACCTTATCACCCCTCCACAGGGAGCACCTCAGCTTCCCTCCTACTGTGATTTAGATGAGTACACAAGCAAAAGTCTCCCACTCGGTTCTCATCATTTCTCCTTTCCCTCCTTCCAGTTGGCGACTCCCATGGCTCGGCTGAAACTACCACACCCTTGGCATCCACTCCATCTGCACCTCTCCGTCTGGCTTCTTTGCTGAGCTGCAGTGACGCTCCAATACAGCTGGGACTTTTCATTATGGTCATCATCATCCCTAGCCATGTTCACTTCAAACTTAACATTCATAAAAGCAGAAAGTTCTTCTCTTTCAACAGTGGTTCTCTCATTTATTCAGGCTGGCCTTGAGCTCAGGGCAAATCTCCTGCCTCAGCCTCCCGAGGGCTAGGATTCAGGCATGCACTGCCATTTTTAATCCAAGATCAATCTTGAAATACTCCCTTTATCATTTATTAGCTTTAAAATGAACTTCTTCACTGCTTATTGCCATGCTGTTCAGTAAGCTAGTTACTAGACACGTGTGCTATGTAACTTGGTTCCTTAGCCACACTGGCTCCATATTAAATGGTCCTAGAGCTACAAGAAACTAGCGGCACTGGGGTGTGGTGTGTGGCGCACACCTGTAACCCCCGGGTTTGAAGGCTGAGGCAGGAGGGCACTATGAGTTTGAGGCCAGCCTGGGCTACATAGTGAGTTCAAGGCTAGCAAGACTCTGTCTCAAAAAACAAAAAATAAAAGAAGCCAGTATGTATCCTATACCTATTGAGCTTCCCAGAATAGACTATTTCCATGACCACAGAAAATTCTGCTGCACAGTGGTAGGTGAACATGACAAAGCCTAAATTCCCCAGTGTGGACCTACCTAGCTTGCCAGCCTTACTTCCCTCTACTTATGATTCTCCATAATTGTATTGCATGGAACATTAAAAACATTTAATAAATGACAGTCAGCTTAAGGCCAGTTTAAATACCATTGTTTCTGAGAAGTCTGCCTGCATCATCCACTAAAAGTAACTCCCTGTTCTTACAAACTACCTGAAGCCACTAGCTGTTTCTTCATGCTACTATGCTTTCTCACCTTCGAACAACAGGCTTTTTTCTTTTCTTATTTTGGTACCAGAGATTGAACTCAGGACCTTGCACTTCTGAGGCAGGCAGCAGAACCACTGAGCTAAATCCTGGCCCAGCTTTTTTCTTTTTCTTGTGGTACTGAGACTTGAATCTAGGCTCTGGGAATTGAATTATCCCCAGCTTTTCTTTATTTTTGGGACAGGGTCTTGCCATGTAGTTCAGGCTGTACTTGAACTCACTATGCATTGGAGGTTGGCCTCCAACTCACAGTGATCCTCCTGCCTCAACCTCCTGAGTGCTTTTTTTTTTTTGAGACAGAGTCTCAACTAAATCACTGAGTTTCCCAGGCAAGGCTCAAACCTGTAATCCTCTCAGATCAGGCAAAGACTCAGAACAGGAACAAGACTTAACTTCTTTGCCTATCTGTTACTAGGATGCTTTGAAAGCACCAGTAAATATTTTCAGATGGACTGCCCTTGCAACAATTACACAAGTAAGAAGTTTTTAACTAGATCATGATACTGCTAGAGGTTAAACTGTTACTTTTTTTTTTTCTTGTTTTAGGCCCTTAAAATACTGAATATGCCCTTTTGAACTACATTTGGAGATCTAAGACTCTTAAATAATTCATCCTTTTTAGAAATGATCAAGTGTACACACCTACAAAGATTAGCATTATAGGTAAAAATAACAGAAATGTTATGGTAGCAGTTCTCTGATTAAAAGTTCAAGCCACTGGCAGGAGTCAGGTAAACAAAGCACAAAACAAAACAAAAACCTGTGCTTTTTTATTTTTTGGAGGAGAGGTTTAATTTGCCTCACAGAAAATGTACATTTTTGACTACTAATCCTAGGTGTCTTTAAATTACTATAATGAAAAAAAAAATACTATACTGACAGCTTTGAATGTAGCCACACAATGATTACCAGTCATGCAGAAAATAACACTGATTAACAGCAGACTGCTGCCTCAAATGTTTTTCGTAAACAGATTATGTAAAAGTGATATATGAATACCATAAGAGTAGGTAAAGATTAAAATTCACAAAATGAAATCACCAAATCTCATTACAAAACCATCATGATTTTGAAAGAGCAATATATTTTACTAGAATTAAGCCCCCAAGATTTTTTAAAATTATCCTTTTTGAAGGCTTTCAAGTAGCTTTCCTATTTATTCTCTTTAGATAATTCATATTCTTCTTGCTCTATTTTGCTTTACTCTCAACACTGAAAGGAAAGCAAAATCAACATTTAAGTCTTTATTGCCACCATGTTAAGATACGCTATCACCTCACTGACTGCAGGCAAATCTGGTGGTGAAATCTGTAAATAGCTTTCTGTGAAATGTAAGATGTAACAATAAAAGAAATTAGGACAACGCTGGTACCCAATATGCAAAAAGGGACCCAGAGGTTCCCTGGAAAACAAGGGACTAAAGAAGCCTTGTATATGCTAATACATAGTTTTGGTCACACAGGGCTCAATGCAATCCTTATAACAACTATGTGAAGGAGAAAACTTTTTTTGATGGGGGGACAAGGTCTTGTTATGTGGTCCAGGCTGGCCTCCAAGTTGTGCTTCTCCTGTCTCGGCCTCCTGAGTGCTAGGATTACAGGCGTGCGCCACCATGCCTGGCTCCATTTTTATCAGATATAATAAAGTTGAAAGTTCCAAAGAGTTAAGAAACTTGCCCTTCATACCTTACAACAAAATAAAATCCAGTTTAGAAGATTGTTCAAAAGATAAAAGGTCTATATTATACTCTTACAGAAGTTCATAGCAACATTATTTGTAATAGAAAAAGCTAGTACAGGAGATAGTTGAGTAGTGGTGGGCCTGCCTAGACAAGCTCCGGGGTTTGATCCCCAGCATTGTGTGACAGGAAAAAGAAAAGGAAAAGCTGATACATCAACCTGAAAATAATTAACTAAGAGGTAGGCATGTCTGTAATCTTAGCCACTCAAGAGGCTGAGGCAGGAGGATCACTCCAGCCCACAGGTTTGAGCAAAGTCTTAAACAAAATGCACAAAAAACAAAAACAGCCAAAACAACAACAAAAACAAAAAGGAAGCAACACAGTGCAGAAAAATCTGTATCCAAAAAAGCAGCGAGCTGATACCAGTGTCATAAGCCTGTGATCTCA